TTTAAGTATGTTTGATATAAGACTTCAAGTTAAATACTGGACAAAATTGTGAAAATGGAAAATGGATCTTATGTTAATTTCTTATGGCTGCTCTAACAAAGCACCACAAGTTTAGTGCCTAAAATGACATTTTTTTTTTTTTTACAGTTCTGGAGTTCAGCAGCCTAAAATGGGTCAGCTGGACAGAGTTCCCTTCCAGAGACTCTATAGAGGAGAATCTGTTCCCTTGCCTTTTCTAGCTTCTAGACATTGCCACTGTCACTCTGACCTCTGCTTCTGTTGTCTCATCTCTTCTCAACACTTCTGTCTCCCCCTTACAAGCACCTGTGATCACATGGGGTGCCCCTGGATTTCCGCCACACCTCAAGAATCTTAACTTATTCATATCTGCAAAGTCCCTTTTGCCGTCTAAGGTAACATAGTCCTGTTTCAGAGGTTAGGGTGTGCATATCTGTGGTAGGGGGCATTATCCCACCTATCACCCTTTCTGATCAGTTTCCTCATTGGTGTTCCTGCAAAACAGAAGGAGTTATAATATGCAGCTATGATCTGCAGGTGTGGATTGTGAATTTGAACTTGCTCCTGTGACAAGACTTCCTGTGAGAAGAAGGGCTGCTGTGAAATCTGCTCTATCCGTAGGAAACTCCTAGCAGACACCAAACTGATGTTTTTTCTTTTTCCAATAGAATCTTGCACTTGTAACATGTAGCTTATGCCGTAGAATTAAAAGCTGTTGGGATGGCAATCATATGTTCCAGGGCTCTAGAATAAAGCAGTTCAAATACCAAGCCTGTCCTTTATTAGGTGTCCATTATCACATAGGTTCCTTGTTTTAATTAAACCTCAATTTCTGAATCTGAAAAACAGATACGATAACTAACTTCCAGAAATCCTGTGTGATTACAAAAATAAAATGTGCAAAGTGCTTAGCACATGCCTGGCATGTAATTGTTGCCATACATGGTAGTCATGCTAGGGCTACACCAGGTCTGCCCATGCTCAGTCTGCCAAGTGCAGCAGAGTCAGAGTGGATACAAGCAAGGACAGGGCATCGGGAAAGGAGAGAGCTGGCAGTTGACCCTGACCAATACTATTCCAGTGTTACAGATGAGGCAGCATCATGCAAAGGAAATGGAATTCCGCACTTTCATGGAGCTTGCATTTGCAGCTGCTTCATTGGAGAACTTAAATATGACCCGGAAAAGGAAAACCCTGACATAGAATGCAATGATTTGACCTTCTTAACATCATAGATAGTGAAGGCAGAGATTCAGAGGACAAGAGTCCTAATCAACTCAGTCCATACAGTTTCCTTAGCCTTGCTGGCCAGGGCTGATATCTGATCCTTTCTAACATTTACAACTGTGTAAATCATCATTTGCTTGCTGGCTTACTTCTAAGTAATAGATAATACCATCTTATCCCAGAGTGTGGCTTCAGCTTTGTTCTCAATAATCCACTTTACTGTCATCCTAAATCCTGATTTTAAAATCCCTGATGTTATGTATATGCATTTGAACCAAATGCATTCTACCTACTAAAACCAGTAATGCCTGTTGGATATTTATTCATGTCAGTCATCACAAACATTCACTGCCTAAAAAACATTTTATCATTTATCCATTGCAGTGATTCTGTTATAATTCTAATTGATTTAAATGATGATGGAACTGAGCCTTCTGAAGTCTGAGTAACTTGCCAAAGGAACAGAACTTGAAGTGGTAGAGTAAGAAGTCCAGATCTTTCTGTCTCCAAACCTGAGGTTCTAGTACTTAGAGAGAGAAAAACCAAGTAATCATAAAATACTGCTAAAATGGAAAAATGTCTATACTTGGGAGAAATGAGTTACAGATCTACAGATTATGATTAGATTTTTGTAAACTAAACAGTACTGTGTATGTGAATGTGAGCATGGATGAAGGAAAGTTATGGTCTCTTTTCCTTAAAAATGCATCTACATACATGCACGCACAATTTCACACACAACTTCAGGAAGTTCAGGTTAGGAGCCTCTAATATACACATATTGCAGGTAAAGAAAAATCTAGAAGGATATATGCCAAATTGTCAAGTATGATCATTGAGGATGGGACTCTGATATTTTTATACTGCTCTTTCTTTCTTTCTTTCTGTCTTTCTTGGTTGAACTTGTTTTTCAATGTGCATGCCTTATTTCTCTAACCAAGAAAAGAAATTTAAGATTATGAGTGAAGTCCGGTTATTTCCAATTTCAAATGAAATTTATAGCTTATTTTTCTCCTGATGACCAGGCTTCTAGCACTTTCCTGTGTCATGGATAAACCTCTGAAAAAACTCAAAGAATGCCTTTGTGAATGTATAAATATGAGCTATTCTGTCCAAAGAGAAACTTTCCCTAAAAGTTGAGACTAACTGAAAACTGAAAACAAGGAGGTGGGGTATTTGTGGGGTGTGTGTGTGTGTGTGTGTGTATTGGGGAGGTGATCTAAAGATACCGTGAAAGCCTTGTCAGAGTTCCCCACTATGAGTGACATGTGTGTGAGAGACATCAGTGCAGCTCTTTCTGTGAGGAGCGAAGGCACCGTTGTGCCTAAAGATGTGTGTTCTCTAAGAACTGAACGGTAAATGAAGCTAATGCCCCCTCGCAGAGGGAACGACCACAGTACACTGTAGTGGAACTGTGTGTGCTAATCCAGCTACCCTCGGGCTGTCATTCACAATGACCTCCTCATTCTCTTGTCAAGTCAGCCTGGCACTAATTGAAATGGCTGTTTCCAGGTTACCCTGTTTTTCTTTCTTTCTTTTTTTTTTGCATAAAACTGCATTGTCTTTATTTTGCATACTTTAATTTCAGAACCAAATAAACAAAAAAAAAAATTCACAACATCCAAACCCGTTGTCAACATGGAAGGGGACAGGGTTTGAGACCCTCCTATCCTGTCTTATGTAAGACAGCAAAGAAAAAAACACTAGTTTTATCAGCAGAAGGAACCAGGTGGGCAGAGCCACTCAGGCTGCTGCAGGAAGAGATGGGGACACTATACAGAGGGCACAGGGTCTGTAGGTTCAAATCCTAGTCTACTTCTTCCATGCGAGATGCATCCTCATCACCCTCAAGGGTGTTAGGGGGAAGTGATGTCCTGAGTTAATCCCATACGGGATTAACTTTGTGGACTCCACCCCCACTCCAGGATCTCTCTCTGGGACAACAACCTCTGGCTCTGGGGACTGCCTATCCTGTTGGTGGAGACGGTCAGCCTCCTCCCTGGCTTTTCTGAATACCATCCTCTGCTCATCCAGCGTTAATAAAGTATGCAGCATGGACTGTATATCTGCCCAGTTAGGGCGGTGGGAGACAAAGATAGAGGCAAACAAGTTCGCCATCCTCTGAGGAGCCTGCCGGTACGAGGGAACAGAGCTCCTCCAATTTAGGAGGTCCGCAGTACTGAACGGATGGTGCAACCAAAAGTACCCAGCAGGTCTCCCATGTTCATTTAAGCCACCCATTGGCATCTGGCGAAGGGGAAACTGCCCTGCCTCAGGTTGATCCTTCCTGCCAAAATGGGTGCCGAGTCTAGTGTGGGGAGGAGACGCCATTTTAGTGTCCTCCCCAGAGGGCAGTGGAGGCTGTGCAGCCTCAGGGGTCTGCACGGGAGGGGCTTTGTCACGTGGAAGAGGATTTTGTCCTGGTGTATTTAAAGTATTTAAAATATGATGCTCCTCCTCTTCTAACTCTGCTCGCTGGCTGTCCTCATGGAAAGGGGAAGGTCTATCCTTTCTCTGCACCATTAGCCTAGCCTTCGCCTCCGCCATATCTAATTTATGGAGGGCGGCCTGCATCTGGTCCTGCATACCTTTAAAAGCTGACTCAAAAGTCCGATTTTGTTGTTGCACTTGATACAGCATGCTTTGATAAGCTGACTCAAAAACGTTACGATTTTCATCCCTTATACTCTTAATAGTTAAATCAAAGGCCTGATTTTGTTGTTGTATGGCCACGTTAAAAGCCTGAATTTGTTGTTGCATGGCTATGTTAAGAGCCTGAATGTGTTGTTGCACATTCTCAGTATGTGAAGTAGAACTTCTACCTCTCACAGAAACAAGAATATAGCAAATTGCGCTTACACATATTACCAAAAAACCACCCAGAAGCACAGTCTGTAAAGGGATGGCTTGTAAACCACCCATGTATGTATACAATAGTAAAATCACGTGCCATACACCAGGCTTCATCAAATTATTTACATTAATGAAACTGGTGGTGATATTTAATGGAAGAAGGCTGCTCAAATTCAAGGCCGGAAGGAAACTAAAAGAACTCAGGCTAGGGATGAAACTGTATAGGCTCATGGTTGAGGCCATATTTGAGTCAAAAATGCACCCACAAGGGCTGTATGCACAGGGAAAAAAACAGGCTTTTCAGGACTAGAGACAAATATTATACTGCTAGTCCTGCAGAACTAGTGCGCTTATGGTGACCAACGCAAGGAATGTTACTTTGGGCTGGTCAACCGCGGGTGTAACTTGGAAACCACGCTGGGCGCCAAACTGTTGTAGAGCAACCCCGATACAAAACGGGGTGCCTGACTGTGGGTCCTCACCTGCGCGCTTAAAAGGACTTATCAATGCTCTACTGCAGGCACACGTGAAAGGTTAATAAAAGGTTTATTTACAAGGGAAGGGGAAATGAGGAAATGTACAGCTCTGGGAGAAAAGTGGGAGACAAAGTTTTAGATGAGCCCTACCCGATCCAACGATCAGGAATCCCAAATGGCGCTCTCAGAGTTGGCCGCCAGCCAGGAGCAGTGAAGCCAGGAGGCGAGTGATCGCGAGCCAGAGAGAGCCCAAGGCCCACGTGTTTGGTTTTTTATATCCAACCTGGCTGCCCAACTCCACCCTCAGGTCCCAGCCACCCTCCCTTGGTGATGATGGGATTTGTCTTTCCCAGAGTCTTGATGGCTTTAGTCTGGAGTGGGGGTGGAGTCCACAAAGTTAATCCTGTATGGGATTAACTCAGGACATCACTTCCCCCTAACAAGGGGAGGGATCTCATCAGGAACAGCAGCACTGGGCTCCTCTGCTGTCACTTCATCTTCATCGATGCTCAAACCTAGTTTGATCATGCAGTAGATACGGTTTGAATGGGTCTGGGGATCCTCAAGTGAGAAGCCAGAAGACAGCAGGGCAGTTTCAAACAGCAGCACCACCAGGTCTTTGACAGCCTTATCATTCTTGTCTGCCTCTGCCTTCTGCCTCAGTGTCTCCACAATAGTGTGGTCAGGGTTGATCTCCAGGTGCTTCTTGGCCATCATGTAGCCCATTGTAGAGTTGCAGGACACCCTGTTTTTCATCGAAGGAGTGTCTTAGGCTCTTCACCTGCTTGGACTGGCTGCCAGCAGAGATGTCAGGCTCACCATTTATTTAGTAACACTGGGTTTGGAAGACACTCTCTCTCCTCATTCCTCCCCTGCCCCACATGCACACTCCATGTCTGTTCAGTGCAAGTAGGTCTACATACAGCATTGCGGTCACATCTTGTTCTGAGCATGAATAAAGAATTCAAGAGTGTCTTACTTTACCCTGGAAATAAAAATGTGACATTCTATTTCTTAGAAGGAAACCTATAATATTATAACCTGATTTAGTCTTGGTGTGTTGGATTTTTGTATATGTTGGGGTTGGACAATAGCCAGAGACCCCAGGAGTTCCCAGTGCGATGGACAGTAGTGAACCTCTTCCCACAGCACCCCATCTTCAGAACAATGTCCCCCTCAACTTAATGTAGCAATTGTGGGAACAGCAAATATTAATGAAGCTCTTTGGATCCATACCAGTGTGCTAGATAAGAAGGCGCGAGCTGTCTTTCCACTGCCCCACCCAATCTGAAAGCTGAATTTGCACACTATCTCCACTCTTCTTGGATGAAATTGAAAAGCTGTTTGGGTGGAGTGGAGTCTGTAGAATTCCTTGTAAGGATATCATATTATACCCCTCCTTCTTACAGGCTGGAACCAGAGATGGATACAAATCTCTGCACACTACGCTGCATGATCAGGAGCTTCCTACACACCCTGATGAGAATCCTGAGTTAACATTTGCCTGCTGCCTTGCAGGCCTGATCTCCCTGTGGGAGGCAGCGTCTATCAACTGTAGGCTCTCTGCGGAGGCAATAATTACACTGTAGTAGTAAAGAGTCCCTGCTTTCCAGTTAGAGCAACCTCGGTTTATGTCCTGACACAGACATTAACTAGCTGTGGTTTTTGTAAAGTCTCTCACTTTATTTTAACATGTTTTCTTGCATGTCCATTAGGAGGGTTATATGGGGTATCATAAGTTAAGTGCTTATCACCACAGTGAAGTGCCTCCAAAATGAAGGCTAATGATATTATTAGCATGCTATTAGTCCTCCGATGGGGGAAAAAAATCCTTCCTTTTGACCAACCCCTCTCCCTGCCAGTACCAGCACCTTTTCTTGCACTCCTTTGGAGTGGAGTGGAACAAAGCTATTCCATAAAGAGCCCACACTCACTGTCCCCAACATCTGTCCTCACATTTGCTCCTAAACCCACCCTAGTGGACTTTGGCTCCATCTTTCTTGTCAAGGTCACTGCATTGCTAAATGCATTGGGCCTCCCTGGTGACGTGGGGGTTAAGTCTCAGAGCTATCGCACTGTTGCCACTGCCACAGGAGTTGGGCCCCCAGCCAGGGAGTAACCCACATGGTGCAGCAGACCTCTCCTGTGTCGCCTGCTGCTCCCCTCAGCAGTGTATATCAGTAGATCTGCCTGTTCTGTTCTCCACTCTGTCTCTGGTGAATCCTCTTAACCCCTGTACCTCTGGCCTGCACCCCAGTTCTTGTATGCATAAATAAATAAAAATAAACCTTTAAAAAGATAGTAAATAAATGCAATGGCATATAGCAATGGCCGCACTGGTTAGCAGCATTTGGTAGAGGAGATCACTCCTTTTCCTGATATGATTTCCCTCTGTGGCTTCAGGATAAGATAATTCCTCCTATCTCAAGAGCTGTTCCTCTCAGTCTCCAGGGCTGAGGAAACTGCTCTAAAGACATTGTAGAGACCCAGGATTTGGTGACTGTTCCTCTTTTCTATCAACATTTATTCCTGCAATGATCCCACACGGCCTTCTGGTGTTAATTACCATCTTTGTGCTAGTGATTCCCAAATACATCTTTCCAACCCTCAACTCAGTCCCAAAATCCAGACTCATATCTCATAGGCCACAGCACTCTCCATTTGATATCTACTAGGCATTGAAAGCCTAGAAGGGGTTAACCGGAGAAACAGAACTAATGAGATATAAGTGTGAATGAATGTATTACAAGGTTTGTGAGTACAAAGTCCTAAGATCCTCAGGTTGAGGAAGGTGGATACCCAAAAAGGCTAATGATTTAGTTCTAGTCTGAGGCCAAAGCCCTGAGAACCCTAAGAGTTGATAGTTTAGATCTTGTCTAAAGGTCAGCAAGCTCAAGGCCAAGGGAGAGCTGATGTTTCAGTTTGAATTTAGTTAAGAAAAAGTCAATTCCCAGTTCCCAACCAGTCAAGCAGGAAGAATTTTCTTCCACTTGGGGGAAGAGATAATCATTTTGTTCTATCCACGTCTTTAATTAACTGGTGAGGCCCATACAAATTTGAATGAGCAATATGCTTGACTTGGTCTACCAATTCAAATGTTTATTTTATCCAAAAGCATGCTCGTAGACATGATTAGAGTAAGATTCGACCAAATATCTGGGATCCCTTGGCCTAGTCAATCTGACGAGTAAAATTAACTATCACACATAACATATCTAAAAATGGACATCTGACCCTTTGGACTTAAGGAATTAAGTGACTTGCCAAGATGACACAGTAGTAATAGGAAAGTTATTTTAAAACAGTACTTGGAATCACAGGCAAGAAGTGCTGATGTAAGGTCAGTTCCTGCAGCAATGCTGTTTTCCATTTTTTATTAAAAGTAGAGCTCTGCTTAAGGAGCAGTATCTGTTGACCAGTGCCAATGTACATTGTGCTTGACCATAGGAAAAGATTTATTCTCTTATGCTTATCACTATGTCTTTGGGTTATCTGATAAAATCCGCTTATTTGGAAATATTTCTACCTTTCAGAAACTAATAGATTAATGTTTTGGGGTTTTTTTTAGCTCCTACGAAGCCAAGCCAGATAGCACTTTATGGCTTTCCTTATAAGTTAATTCTCCTTTCTTCTTAATAATATATATAATGGTATTAAATCATTTCACAAGGGCAAAATGAAATTTTTTTTGTTGTCATTATCCACAAATATGAAACAGGCTCCCCTGATGGGGTTGGGGAAATAAGCATATAGAACCTCCTGGTCTATTACGATAAATGTGTGTACATATTGGTTGGGATATTGATTCAGCAGGAAGTACATAACAGTGGCTAAAACAAAGAATGTCTCTCTCTTTGACAACCAGTCAAGAGAGGAGATTGTCTCCAAGTCCATCTGGTGCCTTCCATGTTGTGTTCCCCTGTCTTCTACTGTGTTATTTTCATCTAAATAGTAGAATTTGGGCCACACTCTGAAAAACACATTTTTTTTTTTTTTTGTGGAAAAGATTTTTATTTCATCTTAAGATCATATATTGTTTATATATGTCCTCTGAGAATAAAACCACCAACAGATGAAAATATATTAATGTTAGTTACGGAGAATATAAAAATTAGCAGAAATTTCTAAGTACTGAACTCTTTTTTTTTTTTATTTTTATTTTTTTTATTAGATAATAAATTTTATTGTTATATTCCCCATACAATTGCAGCCCCCCCATTCTGACCCCAATCCCTCCCCTCCCGCCCCTGCCCCCCTAAAAGTGACTCTGGTTCATAGTTTTTTGTTGATTTTGATTTTCACTTTCTTATAGTTATTCATTTTCCTGGTCCCTTATTTAAGTTTTCTAGATTCCTGCTATGAGTGAGACCATCCGGTATTTTTCTTTTTCTTTTTGGCTTATTTCGCTGAGCATGATCCCTTCCAGCGCCATCCATGTTGCTGCAAATTGCATGTGTTTATCTTTTTTGAATGCTGAGTAATATTCCATGGTATATATGTACCACATCTTCTTGATCCAGTCATCTATTTTTGGGCATTTGGGTTGTTTCCAAAGCTTAGCTATTGTAAACAGTGCTGCTATAAACATAGGGGTGCAGGTGTTCTTTGGAATTGATGTTTCTGTGTCCTTTGGGTAAATACCTAGGAGTGGAATTGCTGCATCATATGGAAGCTCTATGTTTAGTAGGTCCAGAAATCTCCACACAGCTTTCCACAGTGGTTGGACCAGTTTGCACTCCCACCAACAGTGCAGGAGAGTTCCTTTTTCTCCACACCCTCGCCAACATTTGTTGTTGCTACTTTTTTTAATATGTGCCATTCTCACTGGTGTAAGATGGTATCTCATGGTAGTTTTGATTTGCATTTCCCTGATGACAAGTGATGTTGAACATTTTTTCATATGCCTGTTGGCCATTTGCATTTCCTCTTCAGAGAAGTTTCTTTTTAGCTCTTCTGCCCATTTTTTGACTGGATTATTTTCTTTGTTGTTGTTGAGTCTCATCAGCTCTTTGCAGATTTTTGTGATCAGTCCTTTATCATTAGTGTTGGGTGCAAAAATGTTCTCCCAGTTGGTGGGGTTTCTCTTTGTTTTTGTTATTGTCTCTTTTGCTGTGCAGAAGCTCTTTAATTTGATGTAGTCCCAGCATGGTATTGGAACAAGAACAGACATACAGACCAATGGAATCAAATAGAAAATCCAGAAATAAACCCACAGATTTATGGTCAACTAATCTTTGACAAAGGAGCAAAGACTATGCATTGGAGCAAAGAAAGTTTGTTCAATAAATGGTGCTGGGAAAACTGGGTCCCTACATGCAAAAGAATGAAGCTTGACCACTACCTCACACCATACACAAAAATCAACTCAAAATGGATTAAAGAATTAGACATAAGACCTGAAACCATAAAATATATAGAAGGAAATATAGGTGAAACACTACGTGATTTGCACATCAAAGACATCTTTACAGACACATCACCCAAAGCAGTGATAGAAAAACACATTCTACAGAGGAAAGTAGGGAAAGTGAGCATCATTAAGAATATGACCTAGAAATCATATATCTTACTCATACTCTTATCCCATTGAACAGAATTTAGTCACATGACCATACTTAAGACAAGTTAAGAAACATGGCCTGTAGGGTAGCCACATGCTCAACCTGGGGTTCTACTACCAAAAGGAAGATGAAATTGACTATTGGGAGATAACTAAGAGTCACTACTCAGCCATATCTGTATGTATTTCTGTCA